GACTCAGAGTGAGGTGCTACCTCACATATTCCAGGAGGTTCAGGGCTCCCCCTCTTGCTACATCCCCAGAATCCATAGAGGCACATACAGCCTGCTCATTCGCCTTTCGGGAAGAGACCTCCATTAAACAGAATTGGCCATCTACTTGCAGTGGGACTCTAAAGGGTTAAAAAGCATGGCATGGAAGACAGACTGAACAACCCTAGCTGCACCAGGATAAGCAAACTCTGTATGCTTCTTCCCACAAACATAAGACAGAGTGGTCCTAGCTCTATTCCTCTGGAGTAAGAGTCAAATAAGCAGCATTCCCTGGGTCAGCGCTGCCTCTGGCATTGCTCCAGTATATTTTCAGACTCATAAATTCCTAGCTATAGGACTCCATCTTGCCTGACCAAGACAGAGTGAAAAGGCCTAAATTATAACATAACATGTAGCTAGTATGAGCACATTCAATACAGAGCCAAGAAAATGCATCAGACAGTTTCACAGCAAAACAAGTGGCAAAACAAGAGGAGTGAGGGGACAGTGATGGATTAGTTCTGACGCTGTGTAGAGATACATAGCAATACAATTTCCTGCTGAGAAACAGATCTCCAATTTTAGAATTCAACACCCAAGTCTTATAAAGCAGACAATGGTGAGGCAATGTCATCTGAAGCCTTCAGCCATGAACGTAGGTTCTTGGGCAGAGCCCCCCTCTGTCTTCTTCATCTATTTTAGGGTCCTTATTTTATTTTACTTCTGCAGAGGAGGACTGGGAGAGCGCTGCAAGCCTCAAGCATCTATCCCATGTGTCTTGCGTGACAGATGGGGAAGACACAGGAAGTGGGTGGATTGGTGCTTTTATAAATGAACATCATGCACAGCTCCTTTCCTGGATTGCTGGTACATGACTGAATACCATTCTCCCCAGGATATGAGAAAAGCTGATACAATGCCTTTAAAGCATTTATAAAAGCACTTCCATCCCTCTTTCCCCCTAGGAAGCTTTACTTTATACTGACCATAGATTCAAACACATTCCTAACATCAAAGGATTTATCAGATTTACTAAGATTTTGCACTGTTCAATGCTAACAAGGACCTAACAATAAAATGACTGCTCAGTAGGCCTGACACCGTCTTGAGGCAAATTTCCATCTACTGTGTAGTAGGCTAGGGATGTTACTATGTTTATAATAATGAAGATCCATAGTACATTTTAAATAATTTATTTCTTTCATTAAAGGAATAGCTAATACTTTGGATTTCCACATTCAATACGTGTGATAAATGCCTGGGTATTTTTCCATTCACCTATGGGGAAAATCTTAACCTTTTTGTATTTCATCACTTTGATCAGAATTTTCCATAACCTGAAGTGCTCTTTTTAATAATAAGCTTGTGGTATCATTTTATATTTTGTTCTTTTTAGTGACTTGTTTGTCCTATGTCTGCACAGTATGTTAAAATGAGAATAAGATTATCATTCCCAGAAATGTAAAATGCACAGAAGGGGAATATTTTATGAGCTGCTGAAATAACAAGATAAAGCTGTACAAAAAAAAAGTCATAACTTAATTTTACATCAGCCAGGAAAAGAAGCATTTTTACTCCAGCGTCAATCTAAAGCTATGTTAAAACCTGTATAACCAGTACCCAATAAATATCTAGTACCCTAGGAAGCTTATTAATCTAAAAAAAAAAAAAAAAAGTGTCACTTGCAACTGTAAAAATAAGTATGTATGAGATGAATGCAAGCTGAATTAAAAGCCACTGCTGCAAGAGCTCACTAAAACATTTCTACATGGTACCACTTTCTGGCTCAATATAAGAGGACTAAATACTTGAAAAGAACTCCGAGCCTAATAACGCAGTAGAGAAAAGCTGTGGTCTTAATACAGCTGTGTTTCCACTGCAGAGAAAGAGACAAAGGCTTTGGGGAATGAAAGGTAGGTGGGCTTTTAATGTAAAAACTTCTGTTGATTTGCTTGTGGCTTTGACTAAGAAAAATGTATTCATCAGCTGCATAAACAATTATTCTTTGAGCACAGGCTAGTGATATGACTGGGAAGCACATAAACACTTCCCCATTCATAGGGCTATGCCAGTTGGGAGGCTAACTTCTTCTAAGATGAGGTACTAAAACTGAACCTGTTCTCCAACCCTCATTTCCCTGTTTTGGCAAATTTCTTCTCCCTCAGCTCCATTAGTTTCAGGAGGATGGACTAGTTTACTTAATTGGTTCTTTTCACCTCTAGCTTCTGTATATTAGATTCATGTATGAAGAATGCTGGACAATACTCATTCCATCCCCCAGAAAGGGCCTGAACCATCAGAGACTATCTTGAATTCAGAGACTGGTAAACTCAGTCCACGTCAGCAATTTTTTGTTGCTGTGGAATCCTAGGGGAAACACCATCATCATCATCAGTTCAAGATTTAAGGGACCACTGTGAACTGCTTAAAGGATGACTGCAAATGCAACCATGAACTAGCCAAACAGCTAGAAAAGTAAGCAATATTACAACCTTAGGAGAACTTAGATTTACTAACTAATCCATTAGTTAAATATCTTTGCAGTTTATACTTGTATTTGTAACTGATGTTCACAGTTCAAAACAAAAAGATGTCTTGAATCAGATAGTCAGTTTTTCAAGAAAGACGATGATGTAACTTCATTGAACTTCTAGGAAACAACAAGTTCAGCCAGTACATCACCAAGAATGTAGACTCCCATAATACTTGGGGCACATATGGCTCATGGTTTGTAAATAAATGACTGCAGTAAGTTCTAACTCTCAGCAAGTTCTAACTCTAGGTTACCTACATGACAAATAGGTCTGGGAGTTGGCCAATGACAGCATCCACTATATGGTGATATGCAAAAAGACCTGAACGCATATATGACTCACTACCAACTCCTAGCCATTTAGTAAAACTACAGCAATAGTAATGTTAGATCACTTTTCCCAGCCTCCAAGTATGGAACAGGTTATCAGCAATAGTTATTACAAAAAGGGAGAAGAATTACAAGGGGTACTTGACAAAATTGAATTAAAAGCAAAAATATTTTAACATTACTGTGCTTAGCAGTGCTAAGATGACATCTTTTTTGTTTTACGCTGCATATTTAAAAATATTCTCTGCTGTATGAGTCTTTTTTCCCTCTTTTTAAATAAACCCACAGACAAAATTAAGTTTCTGATACAGATGAACTGACTTAGGGAGAAAAAAAAAAAAAAAAAAAAAAAAAAAAAAAAA